CAAATTTTTTTCCTCGCCGTAATTGAAACATTTTTAATATTTCCATTTTGGCTTCAATTACGGCGGGCAAAGTATCTTCAAAATACACGTAATTTTGGTGTCACGTCACCGTAACATTTTTGTTATAAATAAATAATAACACAGGCACACAAAAAATAAAAAGTTGTTTGGCCGAGACACTACACTAGTCTATTTTCATGTATTTTTTCACGCTGAATCCGAATCCGAAGTCAGAATTATCAGATTGGCTCTTATTTTTGAGATAAACTCAAAAAAACTGCTCAGAAAGAAAAATAAAATCAAAAAGTTAAAAAATTTTTGAATGTCACTGCGATAGTGTAATTCCATGTATTTTTTGTCGCTGAATCCGAATCCAAAGTCAGAATTGTTAGATTCGCTCAAATTTTTGAGATAATTGCAAAAAAACACAAGTAACAAAAAACTCAAAATACTCAAAATCAGTTTTTTGGAATTATCTTCAAAATTTGAGCCAATCTGTCAATTCTGACTTCGAATTCGGATTCAGCGTGAAAAAATACATGAAAATGCACTATCGTAATGTTTCGGCAAAAAAAAATTTCTTTGAGCTAAAATCGCCAAAAACTGATAAAAATTCTGAATTAGGGGCACAGATAATTTTTTTTGCCGAAACATTACGATAGTGCATTTTCATGTATTTTTTCACGCTGAATCCGAATTCGAAGTCAGAATTGACAGATTGGCTCAAATTTTGAAGATAATTCCAAAAAACTGATTTTGAGTATTTTGAGTTTTTTTGCAATTATCTCAAAAATTTGAGCGAATCTAACAATTCTGACTTTGGATTCGGATTCAGCGACAAAAAATACATGGAATTACACTATCGCAGTGACATTCAAAAATTTTTTAACTTTTTGATTTTATTTTTCTTTCTGAGCAGTTTTTTTGAGTTTATCTCAAAAATAAGAGCCAATCTGATAATTCTGACTTCGGATTCGGATTCAGCGTGAAAAAATACATGAAAATAGACTAGTGTAGTGTCTCGGCCAAACAACTTTTTATTTTTTGTGTGCCTGTGTAATTATTATTAATAATTAATTTGAATAAATAAAATAAATAAATATTTATGTAAAATTAAGGTATGGTGTTCTTGATATTTAGAGTTTTGAAAGACGATTTACAAACAAGGAAATCAACATACAGAGTCACCAATACATAGAAAAAAAGCAATAAACACTTTTCGTGTCTGTGAGGTACCGATTTTGAATCGAACCCAAAGATGCGAGCTTGTACCGCCGCGAGAAATACATTGGAAAATATTAATATATATAAAGGGAAACCTTTCACTACGAAGGCAGTCTCAAAAATTATACACACACGGAACTTGTCGTAGTGATTTCCAAAATACACAAGTGTCATCATAGTTCACATAAGTTACGATCCAGGTTAAAATATACGTGTCAGCGCGGTAATAAAAATCTTAACGACCAAGAAGATACTAATCTCCAGGTCACTACATCAGGTGCTTATTGGAGATTCCACAATTGACATCTTAAGGCCAGGTCCAAGTGAGGCAGCGCCATCTACATTGATACTAAAATTTTGGAAAATTTTCAACAGCCTTTTCTTGAAAATAAGATGGTAAAATGCTTTTTCCTTCATGGATAATTGATTATTGGCAAGATATACACCAGCTAAAACTTTTTTTGAGTTAAAATAATGAAAAAAATTTCATGTCAATAAATTAAATATGAGCACTTTTTCTCCCAAAAACTGTAACAGTACTTTCTCAGAAATTACAATCAAAAATGCAATTTCCATTTGGAAAATAAATAAACGCTAAAAAATACACGACCTAAGATTTACCAATCACGAAAATAACAAAAAAAAAGTTATTTAACATAACATATTTTACTCATTATGACAGCCGTTTGGCAGGTTATGTATGTCACCAGACGTTTCGCGGTTTTGCCGAAAGGAGGAGATTGGCGCTGTTGCTAACCACCTGAAATACATAATCTACCAAAGGGCTGTCACAATCAGTAAAGCAGTATCAATATGTTAAATATTTAATAAATTTTTTTTTCTTATTTTCGTGATTGGTAAATCTTAGGTCGTGTATTTTTTAGCGTTTATTAATTTTCCAAATGGAAATTGCATTTTTGATTGTAATTTCTGAGAAAGTACTGTTACAGTTTTTGTGAAAAAAGTGCTCATATATTTAATTTATTGACATGAAATTTCTTTTATTATTTTAACTCAAAAAAAATTTTAGCTGGTGTATATCTTGCCAATAATCAATTATCCATTAAGGAAAAAGCATTTTACCTTCTTGTTTTCATGAAAAGGCTGTTGAAAATTTTCCAAAATTTTAGTTTCAATGTAGATGGTGCTGCCTCACTTGGCCTTATGGTAACCATACCAAACATTATACAACATAAGGATTTGTTTGATTGTCTTTCTTGTTACACTAATTGTTGAGAATATTATATATTTTTTAAATAAATAATTTTTATATTATTTTTCAATTCATTCATTTAATAAACCTTTCCCCAACGTAGTTAATTTAACATTGAGGAATTAGAATAGGGTAAAATTGTAAGTTCAGATTAGGCAAAATTAATAATAATTAAAATTTTAAATAAATATGACATAACAAAAGTTAAAATTTTTTTTTTGATATCTAAATAACATTAGCTTTTAGTTTAATAAGCCTCAAATTGACTTTTTTCAATAGAAATGTCGAATTTTCTATTTCAAAGTAATTTTGACTCGAATCGCGCCGTAATTAGTACATTTACCCTATAAAATTTTAAAGATTTCAAATATTTTTGCATAAAAATATTTTTAAAAACAACTCTCTGAAAATATCTATAATTTATTCAAGCTCTTTTTGAAAAATTAGTAAAACTATTATTTTTAACAAATCGCATTTGTGTCAAATATATATAGAGGGAGGAAGCAATAATTTATTGATTGAACAATAGAATTAATAGAGGTTAAAGCTTCTAATTTATATTTCCACAATGATTTATATTCTTGAAGTAATTAATTACATAAAATTCAAAAAAAAATAACCCTCAGAGACTTTTTATTATTTATTTTAAAAAAAATGTTATTATTTATTTACATTTTAATTAATTTAAAAACAATTTTTAAAAAAAATTTTTAATAAATGAAACTAGTATTTTCATATTAGATTTAAAATATAGAATTAATTTTGATATAAAAAAATAAAAGTCAACTTAAAAAATAGCAAAAAAAAAAAATTATTCAACAATTTAAAAATTTGTTTATTGTTTTCTTGCAAAATGAAAAAAAAAGTTGAGGCAATATTTTATAAATAAAATATTGCTTCACGCCAAGTGTCAATGACTGATACGAATAAATGCAAGTGACGTTGACAATGACCTTGAAAAAGAATCATGCTTTAACAGACGCGATGCGATATACATTCAATTTCCTCGATGTTATTTTTTTTCTATCTTTATTATAATGCAAACATCAAATTAAAATAACGAAATTCGTATTATCTGCTTAAAAGCGAATAATCATTGATTCGTAAGATAATGGTAAATACTGACATTTAAAAATTCGATTCATCTAAAATTTTTTTTTTCAATTTTAATGAGAATTCTGCTATAAATTAAAATTTGATTAAGTTAGAATGTTTCTAAATTAAAATTTAGTTAAATAATTTTTTTGTTTTTAAATAAAAATTATATGGTAAAGAGAAAATCTGTTAAGGAGAATGGAGGCCCTAACATAACCTCAATACTGAAAAAATCATTTTTAACGCAAACAAAAATTAAAAATTAATTTCCAACAATTTTAGAATTATTTAGTTAATAACTTATTCATTGTCAATAGTAACTAAAAAAATTAATAATATTTGTTATATTAGGGGGTTGGGGCGGGGAGGTTCGAAATTTTAATTAAAGAGTCAGATTTGGAAAATTCAAAATGTCGGATTCAATATGGCGGACGAATTTTCAAAAATTAAACATATTTGCTTGAAAATCGTTACTCGGAGGTTTTTTGGGGTCGCTGATTACGAATTTAAAGTCAGTTTTTCAAAATTCAAAATGGCGGATCCAATATGGCGGACAATTTTTAAAAATTAAACATATTCGCTTTAAAATCATTACTCGGAGGTTTTTGGGGTCGCTGATGAAGAATCCTGTGTCCGTTTTTCAAAATTCAAAATGGCGGATCTAATATAGCAGACGAAATTTTAAATAATCGTTCGGATTCGTTTGAAAATCGTTACTCGGGGGTTTTCGGGGTCGCTGATTTCGAATCTGATGTTAGTTTTTCAAAATTTAAAATGTCGGATCCAATATGGCGGACATAAAAAATTAAAAATCAATACAATTTACTAATATTAGATTCGTAATTAGCGACTTTGAAAACCCCTAAATAACGAGTTTCAAGCAAAACCGTCAAATTTAAAAAAATATATCCGCCATTTTGAATTTTGAAAAAGTAACATCAGATTTGTAATCAGCGATCCCAAAAACTCCCGAGTAACGATTTTCAAGGGATACCGAACGATTTTTTTAAAATTCTTCCGCCATATTGGATCGGCCATTTTGAATTTTGAAAAACGGACACCGGATTCGTAATCAGCGATCCAGAAAATCACCGAGTAACTATTTTCAGATAAATACGTTGAATTTTTTCAAAAGTCGTCGGCCATATTACATCCGCCATTTTGAATTTTGAAAAGCGTTACCGAATTCGTAAACAGAGCTATAAAATAATGTTTTAGAAAGAGTTTTTACATTAAAAAAATTCTCTTTCTTTTTTTAAATGTACGTTATAGCATCAGGTTATTCAATTTGATAACAATTTTGAAAAAGAATTTTCTTAAATAGAAGTAGATGAAAAAGCAAATTGTCTGTGTCCGAGGGACCCAGCTCAGGTACGCAAGGGTTAAAAAAATTATTTGACTAATTTAAAATAATTTTTTTTTTTTATGAACAATATAATAACTTTAAAGTTTGGTACGGATATCTTACCTATAAACGCCATAATGTTTCCCGCTTGCACGATCGCCACATATGGAACAAAGGTGTTTACTTCCAGACAGTGGATGATTTGGTGGATAAGGAGAACCTGCGCCTTTGTTTTGTCCACTTGGTGAGGTACTAAGGACACTGCTATGGCAACCGACACTAAACGATCTGAAAATAAAATAAACTTACATCATTTCCGCTTTATGAAAAATAAATTTATTATATCTTGTCTGCACACTAAATTATTTTCATGTCATTTATAATTTACAACTGGTAATTAATATTAATTCTTTCTTCCTTATTTTTATCATTACATTGAAAAAAAATATATCAAATTCAGATCTTGGATTATCAGAATTTTTTCTGAAAATATTTTCCAAAATTTTTGTTTCTGCAAAATTAAACATTTAATTTAATTTCACTTTTGCGGCACTGTCTTTCTTAATTTATCCGCGCGTGAGATAAAATTATTATCTGCCACATATACTCTGTGAAATCTATTTTCATCAAATATTGGAACGATTGTCGTTCCAATTTTTGTAATACGACAACTTTCATTTAACGAATTTCCAATTGCTCTAATTTTCTGTTCGTCGTGTTCAAATTATCACTTAACCCATTATCGCAATTCATTTGGCAGAGTTTCCAATTTTATATAGATTTTCAAAGTATACGCGCCTCAATGGAAATTTTCCTAATTGGACATTTTATAGAAAAAATAGAATTCCAGTAAGAAAATATTCCTGAAAAATTCTATTACAAATTCAAAAATTTTTATTTCAATTTTTTTACTTTTTTTTTTATTTTTAGAGTCTAAAATTTTTTGACATTAATTTTTCTTTTTTTACTCTCTAGAATTAGAAAAATTACTATTTTACTCCCTACGATTAATAAAAGATCATTTTTTAATCCCTCGAATTAAAAGATAACATTTTACTCCCTAGGGTTAATAAAGATCATTTTAATATCCCTAGAATGAAAAATAAACATTTTACTCCCTAGGGTTAATAAAGATAATTTTAAACCCTAGAATAAAAAAATAACATTTTACTCCCTAGAATTAATAATTGATTATTTTAATTCCTAGAATTAAAAAATAATATTTTACTCCCTAGGGTTAATAATTGACTATTTTAATCCCTAGAATTTAAAAGCACATCATTTTACTTCCTAGCCTTGATAAATCCAATATTTCCTTCCTTTTAGGGTAATTAAAGATGACAATAAAAATTTTTCAAATTATAGAAAAAATTTTTAAATTGAAAAAATCTTACCCAGGACTATTGGGACCAGAGGGACTAAAGTTGCCGGCATTCATAAGACTTGCTGTGTCTGGTTTCATATCCAACGGACTTTGTGGACCCATCGAGGACATCGACATATTACTGTTGTCGAGACTCAACCCTGAAATCATAAAAAACAAATGATCACTTTAAAAAAAAGTTATAATAATAATAATAATAATAATAATAATAATAATAATAATAATAAAATTCATGTTTTGCCTAAAATTTTCATATATTTTTTGTAGTATCGCAGTACTAATTTTACGATTTATTCTTGGTTAAGTTAAAGCAAAAAGAAAAGGTAAATTTAAGGTTATATTCGTCTATTTCCCTAAATATTAAACTAGTTTCAAGGTTATGTTTCCCTGTATTAACTTCAAACTGAGCGATTTTGAATTTTGAGGTTATGTTAGCTCTTGAATATATAATCTTGAATTTTGAGGTTATCTTTGTTTTTGGACATACATTTTTAGGTTATGTTGCCCCTTAGATATATAACCATGAATTTTGAGTTAATCTTCGTTTTTTCACCTACGATTTAATCTTATATTTTTAGGTTATGTTATCCCTTGGATCTATACCCTTGAATTTTGAGGTTATCTTCGTTTTTTGACTTATTAAAACATTTGACTTTACATTTTTAGGTTATGTTGGCTCTTACATCTATAACCTTAAATTTTCATTTAATTTTTAAATTTTTGAGAGAATCTTTGTTCTTTTACCTACGATTTGATTTGATATTTTTAGGTTATGTTATCCCTTGGATCTATAATTTTGAATTTTGAGGTTATCTTCGTTTTTTGACCTATGATCAAGACATTTGACCTTACATTTGTAGGTTATGTTGGCTCTTACATCTATAACCTTAAATTTTTGAGGTAATCTTCGTTCTTTTACCTACGATCTGATTTAATATTTTTAGGTTATGTTATCTCTTGGATCTATAATTTTGAATTTTGAGGTTATCTTCGTTTTTTGACCTATGATCAAGACATTTGACCTTACATTTTTAGGTTATGTTGGCTCTTACATCTATAACCTTAAATTTTTGAGGTAATCTTTGTTTTTTTATCTACGATTTGATATTTTTAGGTTATGTTATCCCTTGGATCTATACCCTTGAATTTTGAGGTTATCTTCCCTTTTTAACCAAAGATTTAGATAATTGAATTTAAAATTTGAGGTTATGTTGGCTCTTACATCTATAACCTTAAATTGTTGAGGTTATGTTTACCCTTAGATCTATGTTCTACATTTTGAGGTTATGTTCGTCTCTTAATCAAAATGTTTACTCGAATTTCGAGGTCACTTTTAATCTCAAACCGAATGGTCACTTCATTCTTAACCTTTAAACAAATTTTGAGGTTATGTTCGAAAAAAAAAAATTCTGACAGTCAAAATTATTTTATAATATTTTAATGCATTTTGGACAAATTTTGAAAGCTCTTTATTCTCTAAAATGAATAATTTAGATTTTTGACATGAAGATAAATTACATTTTAATCGATTTAAAAGAGATTGAGGATGGAGAATAACGAGCAAAAGACTTAGGGGGACAAAACACATTGAAATGATTCGCCGTGAAGGACGTATGTCAAGTGCATTGGTATAATAATTAAATGACGTCATTCACTATACATTTGTCGATATATGCACATACCGCCAATAAATGTGCAGCAAATGAACAAATTGGGATTTATAATCGCCGTTGAATCGTCTAATGTTTTTTTTTCTCATTTTTTTGTAAATAACAATTTAAGGCTGCTTCCACAATAGCTAAATCGCATTATCTAAAGGCACTCTCACACTTTTTTGGCTGCCTGCAGGTTACCATGGCAATGTACGAGTGTGAGTGAGACAGAAAATTTGAATATTCAAATTTTTAAATTTTCTGTCGCACTCACTCTCATGCGTTGCCATGGTAATCTGCAGACAGCCAAAAAGGTGTGAGAGTGCCTTTAAGGTAATGGTATTTTTACATAGTAGTACAAAGTAAAAATTTAAGGTCGTCTAACATATAACCTTAAAGACGAATTTTTAGGACGAGATGCGCGCGTATATTGCCAACTGTCGACACAAAAAAAAAAATTATTTCACTGTTCCAACAATTTTAGCTTGTATTGAAATTATAAAAAAAAAATTTGTTTTGTTAAAGAAATAATAAAAAATTTTACATTCTTACAGGTTAAATTTTTTTTTTAAATTTATAGTACAAGTGAAATTAATTTTTATTGTCAACAGTTGGCAATGAATGCGTGCGCATCGTCTTGTACACTCGTGGCCAGATATGCCTACAAATTTTTGTCCTTTTCTAACACACGTGTTGCCATGACAACATGTGAGCTAGAAAAGGACAAAAAAGTGTAGGCATATACGGCCTGTACTAAAAAATCATTTTCAAAACGATTGTTAAATTTGAGGTTATGTTATTTAAATCGTTTCCTACTGTAAAGAAAATTGTAATTTTTATTAAAATGCATGTAAAAAAAATAATAAAAATAAATTATAAAATGCAATTTTTAATGGTTAAGTGGAAGACACTGCTTATAATATTCTATTTTAAAAAAGAATATTTTTTTTTATATTTATCGAAATACTGAAAAATCTGATTCACTGGCACCGATAATTTGCATTTTCATTTGCTTGCATGAATCTCGTATATATATATATGAGTGTGTGTGTACTTTCGTCCAACAGTCGACGACCTTCGGTGTATTTACCTCTGGTCCCCGCAGATATAATTACAGCAGAGGTTGAACACGAGTTAAGTATTACGAGTAACGCGATCGTTGCCAGTTTGAAAATAAAACATGTATATATCTTCCGTAAGACCACAAAGTACAAAATTACCTATATATTACATATTTTTTTTTTTTATTAAATAATTTTTTTTTTCAAAATTAATTTGGTATTATTTTTTTTTATTTTGCAATTTTTTTTTTGAGTTCAATAGTCGGTATCAGGAATTAGAAACGAATTTAGATATTTCTATTTAAGTTTCACGGTCACACAACGTCAATTTGAAAGAAAGAAAAGTTTGACTCTCGCTTTTACATGCGCTCTTTGTAACTGAACATATAGTTTTATTGATCTCCACAACAAGACTTTCAATATCAGAATCAAGGCTAGTAAGGAAATTTCGCTACCATTTGGAGATGTATATTTAAATGTCATCAGTTTCCTTGTTTTTTTAATCGTGATTTTTTTTTTTTTTTTTTTAATTAACTTTTAATTATATAGAAGAGAAACAATTAAGGAAGAATATATATGGTAAACTGGTTCCCGTCAGTTTTTTTTAAGTCGATTTACATTACAAGAAAAGTCAAAAAGTCCATTTTTTTATTTTCAATTTTAATTAGTTGATAAATATTTTATCTCATTATTAAAAATTTGTTATTAGAAATTAAATAACATTTATTAATTCCTTAAAAAGAATGTTTCACAGAAATATTTACAATAATTTTTTCTTTTTAACCCTTAACTGGCACCAGGGGGTCCAGTAGATCCGAGCATTTTTTTCTCGCTCAAATTGAAGCAGGAGGATATTTCATAAAGAATTTTTATTATTTAGATAACTTCAAAATCATTAATCTCTCGAAAAAGAGGAATACAATTAAGAATGTTTCAAAAACAAAATAAAATTTTTTAGTAAAGTTTCTATGATAAAAATACTATTTTATAATAATAATAATTTTCCTTAATGTTAGACTCTAAAAATTAAAAAAGAATTAATCGGAATTCCGTCGGAATCTCAACGGAAATTCTTTGAAACTCTGATGAAATTCCGGGAATTTTTTCAAATAATTGAATTTGGAAGATTTTGATTGAATTTTTAATTAAAAAATTTTTTATTTTCCTGAATTGTTGAAAAACTGTATTAAAGTAATTAAAAAAATTAATTTAGCGAAAAATTTTAAACAAAATTTTCAGAAATAATTGAATTATAGAGAATTTTAGAGAATTTTTGAATTGAAAAATGTTTTAAAAAATTGAATTTTTGAAATTTTTAATTAAAATTTTAATAAACTTGAATTATTGAAATATTTTAAAAATTATAAAAAGAAAAATTTAATTTTAAAGAATTAATAATTATAAAACGTTTTATGTAATTGAATTTTTGAAAAACTTAATTAAAGTTATTAGAAATAATTAATTGAAAAAGAAATAGAAGTTAAAAATTTAGAGAAATAATTTAATTTTGAAAGAGCAATAGTTAAAAATTTTTGAATTAATTGAATTTCAGGAGATTTTTAATAAAAATTTTCGTAAATTGGAATTTCTGTGAATATTTTTTATAAGCTTTAAACAATAATTAAAGTTTGGAGCATTTTGAATTGGAAAATGTTTTAAATAATTGAATTTTCGAAAATCTTGATTAAAATTATTAAAATCAAATTATTCATCAATTTCAAGTTTAGATGAAAAATTTAGAAATAATTGTATTTTAGAAGTTAAAAATTTGAGAAATAATAATTGAATTTCAGGAGATTATTAATTGAAACTTTTATTTTGAATTTGTGAAATTTTTTGAAAAACTTTAGACATGAATGTGAATTTTCAACTGAAAACTGTTTTAAATCAATATGTAATTTTCGAAGAATTTGTTTGAAATTATTGAAAATAATTGATTTAGCAAACGATTCATATTAATATATTTTTTTAATATTTCAATTTTAAAAAATAAAAAAAAGTCGCGCAATCCGAGGCCTGTTATTGAAAACCTCTTGAAATATTTTCATTAGTGTCAGGGAAAAAATTTTAATTTTTGACTGAAAATCAGGAAAAAACCAAATAACATTTTAGTGTCAAATTGTACTGCGAGTGTAAATGGATTTTGTACATAATAATTAACAATAATTTCTTATTCTTTTTTGAACCAAGATTTTGCATTGTACTTAAAAAAAAATTTATTCACCTATCCTTCTTGGACTAAGATTTTGTATTGTACCTAAAATATCTTCTCATTATGATGAGAATGTAAAAAAAAGAGTCGTTAAAAAAACAGATCTGTTGTAAAATTAAATTCCTTTCAAAACTTTTTACCAATATTTAAGCATTATTTTGGATTCAGATTTTTGTTGAGACTGACTAATGATTTTGAATCGTATACAATTTTTC